AAGAATAGACTGTGAGGGATACAGTAGAATCAAGGAGGCAGAGAAATTAGTTAGGAGGTTATTATCTCCTGAAAGCCAAGTACAGAAAGTGAGGGTGATGGTGACCAGTGAAAGAGATGAAAAATTATAAAATTCTGTGTATGGTTGAGGTAGAGGCGACAGGATTTGCTGATGGATTTAATGTGGTGGGAGAGGAGAGCGATTAAGGTTCACCCCAAGGTTTTGAGTCTGAGCTAAGTATGGAGATGGCCTTACTTGATAAGGAAGACAATGGGTGAAGCATGTGTTGTGTGAGGATTGGGGGGAGGGGTGTTGTATACCAAGAACTTAGTTTTGGACCTGTTTAATTTTTGGATATATGACTCTAGAGTTGCTGAATAAACATATGTTAAGTCCTAAAACTGGACATCACCAAGGGAGTGAATGTAAACAGGAAAAAAGAGGTCCAAGGACTGAACAGAGAGCTTAAATGTTATGTCAGGAAGGTAAAGTGAAATGCAAACAGCAAGGTGAGGTAGAAAGAAGACCAGGCGAGCAAGGCAGCCTATAAGCCAAATAAAGCGCTTCAAGGAGGAGACGAAGAGCGCCATCACCTGAGTTGGTGCTGCTGGTGGGTCTAAAAGCACAAGGACTGAGACACAAATGCTGGATTTAGCAAAACAGAGTTATTGCTGACCCTGACAAATTTGACAGTGACTAGGATATTTTTCAAAAGACAGTTGACTAGAGTAGAAAATTGTGCTGAGAAATAATGGAAGGAAGATCTGAATGCATAAAAGCCAAAAAATGGAACTTTTTGATGCCAGATTGGAGAGTTTGATCTTTATCTTATGGAAAAATTAAAAATAAAAGTATTTGTATGGGACAATGATAAAATAAGACCAGTGTTTTTAAAGTTTACCTGATAGTAGTGAATTGGAGGAGGAGGTTCTAGATGCCATAAGGCCAGTTAGAAGCTTGTTATAAAAACGAAGCTGATTAGGAGGGTGACAACAAAGAGAGAGGATGAATAGCTGAAGGATGACTGATAATAGAAAAGAAGGGAGGGACACCTGAAATGATCCTGAAGCTGCTTGAGAGAAGGATGGTGCAAGCCAACAGGCATCTCTGGGCTTCAAGTTAATATGAACTAGCTTTAGAAGTGAGCCATCCTTGGGATGTTTGAGACCCAGGAATTACCTATAGGTATGCATGGCCTGAAGTAATTTTCAGAGATCAGGAATATTTGTGTACATCTTGGAATCTCCTACTGAGTCTAGGATATGAAGGCTGGAGAAGGACACATACTAAGAACAGAGACCATTCTTAGTGAGGAGAGAGGTTGCAAGAGTCCTGAGAGTTCTATGATGGACATATGAGATAGGCTTCCTTTCACGGCCAAATCACACAGAGGGA